CCCTGATAGTACAGCCACCAGAAGACCACTCCGTGGGACATTTGTGTTAGAAACACAGTCAGCAAGGGACAGAATTTTAAATTAAAGGTTTTGCATGGTGTTCACTAGAGCTTGGCATTTTCGTCATTATAAAAAATGATTTTTGCCATTATGCTCCAGCCTTTGCAAGAAAAAAGGATTGTTCCCTTAGTTTTTATCAGGTTTTTTTTTAGCAATTGAAGATTTTAATAGAAACATAATATATGGAATCATGCCATTTTCTTCAAGAGGTAAGAAGCCAATTACATTCGATCAGGATTTTCCAGCTGGGTGAAGGAAGGATGGGGACATAGAGACTGAAGTTTAACGAAGTGGGAAAATGTCCTAGCAGAAGTGGATTTACAGACGTGAAATCATTCATTCAATACACACTTACCACGGGTCTTCCTCTGCTAGGGGCACAGAAGGAGGCATGACACAGACCTTGAGGCCTTGTGGCAAGGGGGAAAGAGTGATTGAGAGACAAATAACATCCAGGGCAACAAGATAGAAGAAAATGCATTTTTCCAGAGCATCTGACACAACTAAGACATTCAGGCAAGAAGCCCTAGGAGCAGCAGAGACACAGCTGTCGAGAAGGAAGAGGTAAAGTGGTAGAAACACACTTGAAGAGGCCTTGGGACAAATGGAGTTTGGTAGGAGACTGGGGGCATTTAGTATGGATGGCACCTATTATTAAGAGGGAGGTGTCGAGATTAGAGACCGGATCAGTGAGATCAGGATCACAGCGGTGCCTTGCCAAAAGCAGTCATCCAACCTTAATGTTAGAACTGCAAGCTTGACCAGGTACAAATGAAGGAGACAGTGTAGTCAGCGTGACTGCCAACTATTTTAGCCAGGAAAAGTCATAAGCCAGTTTTTCTAGCTTTCTTTCTGTTGCTATTATAAAGACCACTACCAAAAGCAACTTGGGGGAAAGGGGGGTTTTATTTCATCTTATGCTTCCCAGTCAATAGTCTATCATGGAGTAAAAGTCCAGGCAAGAACTTGGAGTAGAAATCACGGAGAAATGCTGCCTACTGGCTTGTTCAGGTGGCTTTCTTGCCTGGGAATGGCATCACCAACAGAGACCTGGACCCTCTAACATCAATTAACATTTTTTTAAAATATCTCGCAGACATGGCCATAGGCCAATCGGATTGAGGCAAGTTTTCAGTCAAGTTTCCCTCTAGCCAGGTGACTCTAGCATTGTGTCAAGCTGACAGCAGAAGCTAACCATGACATCCACTGGGCCCCAAGGGTGTCTCAGGTAGAAGTTGTCCAGTGAAGGTGTGCACCTTCATGGGCTTCCAATTCATGAGCTGCCTTTTATTTTTTTTCCACTCTAATCAAAACACAACGACTCCTCTATCCTTTAACTTTTGACTACAGATTTCTATGCAACTTGAAGGCAGACACATTTACAATCCTATATCATGCCATTCCATTGATTAGCACATTCTATTCACTCCAGGTTGAAAAAAAGTTATTGACCGGCCACAGAAATGCTGACTACTCGAGATAAAATAGAAAATGCAAGAGACTAAATGATTCTGACCACTAGTGCACTCCAGATAACTACTCCTCCCCCCCCTTAGTAAAGGTTCCCTTGTGATCAGAACTGAGAAGTCAAGTTTTAAAAACCATCCAAGATTGTCTGTGCTGCAGCTCTTTCTAGGCAGGGTACATGCTACTGGCTTGGACAGTATCCTCTTACAAGCCACCATATTGGACAGCACCCTCTTACAAGCCACCATAGGCAAAGGGCTCAGTACAGCCTTTGGAGCCAAAAAGATGCTGGACTAACAGGTGCAAAGACCCAATCTTTTCTTTAAAAAAAAAAAAAACCAAAAACACTAAAAGTGAAACTACCACATGGTCCACCTATTTCACAATGGGTTTATATTCAAAAGCAAGGAAACAAGTAATCAACAGCCAAGACATGGCATCAGCCACCATGACTGTTGAGAGAGTCTTTTGAAATTATGATAGATTAGATTGGAGATGGCTTGGCAGTTAAAAGCACTGGCTGCTCTTCTGAGGATGTAGGTTTGATTCCTATCACCCATATGGCAGCTCACAACCATGTATAACTCCCTTTCCAGGGGATCTGACATCTTCTGGCCTCCAAGGGCACCTGCAGGCAAAACATCCATACACATAAAATGGAATGAAAAAAATTTAAAGAAAATTATACTCTCTCAGCCTAGACACATGGGGGAAGGCCTGGGCCCTGCCCCAAATGATGTGACAGACTTTGATGATCCCCCATGGAAGGCTCCACCCTTTCTATGGAGCATAAGAGGGATGGGGGTTGGTGGGGCGTCAGGGGAGAATGGGAGGGAGAGGGAACTGGGATTCCTAATATATACATATGTAAATATAAAATTTATCTATGAAAGATGGAAGCACGGCCATTTCTAGCAACATGGGTGGAACCTGAAGACATTGTGTTTGATGAAGAAGTCAAGCACAGAAAGACAATACTGCAATGTGCTCTCACTTGTACATAGGGAAAGATGCTCTCTTGGAAGTGTAAAGTAGTACGGGTGGGCACTAGAGCATGGTTATTGGGTTTAGGAGAACACTTGGAAGGAATAATAACTTCTAAAGTCCACAGTAGCTACAGCTGACAACCATTAATTATGTATCTAAAAATAGCCAGTAGAGATGAATTTTTAGTATTCCCAACACAAAGAAATGACTGACACTTGAGGTGATGGATATGTCAGTTACCTTGATCTGACTGCTGCATAATGTTTACATGCATTAGAATGTCACACTGCACCCATACATACGTGCAATTACGTTGTGTCAATGAAAACACAAAACAAAAATGGGGCACAGAATTTATAAACCCTTCAAAAGAACTCAAGCACAAACAAAACTTGACATCTAAAAATGATGAGCCCGTGACGGCAAAACAAGGAAGACAGAGCTAAAGCACAGAGCTGGTGACAAAGAGAAAAATCTACTGGGGAGGGATGAAGAAACAAGGAATAATAGGCTAGCACACACCAGAGGGCATATAATCACACAAAACACAACTCCCACCTAGGGAATAAATTAAAGATAACTTTATGGACTGTCAAGATATCAAATTCTAATAAAGGTATTTTAAAGGAGTGTGGAAAGCTGTTGTGGGACATTTGATCACACTGTGTGAAGATGTGTTGCTGTTTTTTCCTTGCCTGTCTAAGGCACCTTCTGATTGGCTTAATGAAGAGCTGAACGGCCAATAGCTAGGCAGGAGAGGATAGGTGGGACTTTGGGGCAGAGATGAGGTAGAAGCACCCTACTAAGGGCTGCTACAGGAACTAGATTAGATGAGGTAAAAGAAGCTCCACATATAAACCGAAACTCACTACATGCTAGGGCTTGATCCTAAGTTACAACTTCCTTGGTATTGTTAATGAAGGGGTGACCCACGGCAACAATCCTGGCTAAATCTAGAGGAAGCAGAGATTAATCAGGGTTCTCTGACCAAACTACTAGTATGGTAGACTGAGAAACTTCTGAATTCACCAGAAAGAGCCCAGTCTGGATTTTATTGTTGACACTTTGACATAAATGACCGTGTGTGACTTTATGTAAGTCAGTTAGTATCTCTGACCTCATTTTCTCATACATAAAGCTGTAAGAACTCTTGTGTTTCTGCTAATTATGACAGACACACCCCAAAAGTCTGGCTGCCATTCCTTCTGTGACTTTCAAACTGGCTTCCAGAACGAAACTGCAGCTATTCCCAGGTGCCTCACACATCCCTGCTGTGATAACAGGAGACACATTCTCCCGCACAACACTTCCTTCGTTAAGTATCATGCTGGGATAAGAACTGGCTGTGAAGCAAGAGATGGAAGGCAAATCAGAGAGGTCTCTGCGGTGCCTTCTCTGGTTAGAGAGCTTCCTGCCTTCAGAAACCGCCTTTGACTATCAAAGAGACACAGCTGTCAAGGGCTGTCGGGCTCTTCTGTAGGAGTGAGTTTCCCACAGTGTATTTCTTCCTTCCATCGAGGAGACCCAGACCCAAAACCTCTTTGTTCATTAAGCTGTAATCTGTCCTGATGCGTGCTGTGTCTCTGCTTCTTCAGTCGGTGGAGGAGAGGTTTGGTTTTTAGTGGGTTTTTGTTTTGAGGTTTTTTGTTTGTTTGTTTGTTTTCCTACTCTTTGGAAGGAAAGAGAATTTCAGGACTTTTGCTTTTTTTTATTCAAATAACTTTGAACTCAAATTCTTTTTTGCTAGAATACATGATTTGATATTCTCTATTCCTAAAAGAATAAGGAAAACTGTTGTTATTATTGATGCTTTAGGGAAACGTTTGTATAAAGCTCCTTATAATATATGGGCATTCTGTAAGAGAGTAACAATTTTACACCTGAAGGGCCCAGACCTTCACCCAACCCCCCTGCTTCAGCAGCTGTGGAGAGGCTGAAGAAAAGACCCAGCAGGACATAGGCCCCTGACTCAGCAACACGTGCTGTGCTCTAGACCTTGCCCTACCTTGACCTAAACACTAGGAAGCCAGGTACCCTCCACGTGGCAATGGAACCAATCAGAAGTTAGTTGGTGGGCTCTGGATGTGCTTTACTGATAATAGTGGAAAGCAGAGCATAGCAACTGCCCTGGGATGACCTCGAGGCATAGCAACCTTTCTGCAGCTGCAGCTGACCAATCAACTCAGAGCAGGTGGCCCAAGCATGAAAGTGCACCAATCCTGAGACTGTTGCTATGCAACTAGCAGACCTCCAGACACTCCCCCTTGCTCTACCCCAATATATTCCCTGCCCCACTGCTGCCGGAGGTCCCGCCTGCTTCACCTTCTGTATAGGATGGATGGGGGGGTGGGACACGGGACACGGATGGACCTCAGTTAACTGGTAAAATTAAAGACTCTTTGCTTTTGCATCGGACTGGGTCTCTTGGTGGTTTGGGGGGGTTCAGAGTTTGGGCACAACACACCAAAGCACGGGTTTCCAGAATCAACATTTAGGCAAAGATGATCAAGTGTTTATTTATTCAGTGAAGAACTCAAGACTCTAGTGGAATGGTTTTGTTAAAAAAAAAAAAGCCAGGAATTAAGGTGGGGGAAACTGGGCTGTTGCTACAGCTCAGCGTGAAAGTGCTGGCCTAGCATATGCCAGCGCCTATGGTTTGAAAACGTAGAGAAATACTTCCTCCCACACAGTTCTCTCTGCCCTCTTGCTCCCTCTCTCTGTGGACATTGTAACCCTTCTTCCTGGTCCATTCCTAGGTGGTAAGAAAAGAAAGAAAGAGGATGAGAGAGACAGCAGGGGTGGAAAGCAGGTGTTACAGACTTTGGTGCATCTGTCACAAGGCATTGGACTGAACCAGGCCCCCTGGATGTGGGTGTCAGTTAGGGGACCTGGATGTGGGTGTCAGTTAGGGGACCTGGATGTGGGTGTCAGTTAGGGGACCTGGATGTGGGTGTCAGTTAGGGGACCTGGATGTGGGTGTCAGTTAGGGGACCTGGATGTGGGTGTCAGTTAGGGGACCTGGATGTGGGTGTCAGTTAGGGGACCTGGATGTGGGTGTCAGTTAGGGGACCTGGATGTGGGTGTCAGTTAGGGGACCTGGATGTGGGTGTCAGTTAGGCCCCCTGGATGTGGGTGTCAGTTAGGCCCCCTGGATGTGGGTGTCAGTTAGGGGACCTGGATGTGGGTGTCAGTTAGGGGACCTGGATGTGGGTGTCAGTTAGGGGACCTGGATGTGGGTGTCAGTTAGGGGACCTGGATGTGGGTGTCAGTTAGGGGACCTGGATGTGGGTGTCAGTTAGGGGACCTGGATGTGGGTGTCGTCAGTTAGGGGACCTGGATGTGGGTGTCAGTTAGGGGACCTGGGCAGTTATGGGGCCTCTGGGAGTGAGGCAGCATTTATCCCTAGAGTATGAGTGGACATTGGGAGCCCATTCCCCAGAGAGGGACACTCTCTCAGCCTAGACACACGGGGAGAGCCTAGGCCCTGCCCCAAATGATGTGACAGACTTTGATGATCCCCCATGGAAGGCCTCACCCTTTCTATGGAGCAGAAGAAGGATGGGATGGGGGTCAGTGGGAGGCATGGGAGGGTGGGAGGGAGAGGGAACTGGGATTGATATATAAGATAAGATTGCTTATAATTCAAATAAAAATATATAAAAATAAATTAAAATTTTTAGTATATGCTTAACTGCTTGTCTTACGGTGTGTCAGACGCACACTACTCACCTTCTGGGTCAAATGAATCAAAACACCATTTTGGTCTTTTGGAGACTCACTTGAAAGAGATGAATAAACGCATTTTCAGTATTAAGGGACTGATTGTACCAAGGGCATATATGTAAGACACCAGGGGGAAGTTAAGATCAGGGACTCTCACACCAGGCCCTGCTCTCTATGCGTCCCGTCACCTTGAGCAAAGTATTCACTATGCTAAAACTCCAGTTTCTGTGCAGGGATAGGGGAGTGGGGGAGTGAGGGGTGGCTCATCTGGTAAGGGGGTAGGTAAGGGGGGTGGCTCATCTGGTAGATTGTTTGCCTGTCATCCTGGAAGTCCCGGGTTCCACCATTGCATAAACCAGATGAGGTGGAACCGGCCTGTAACCCCAACATGTGTGAGGGATAACGGAACTTCAAGGTCATTCCAGGCTACATGAGACCCTGTCTTCAAAACCCAAAAGTAGTGATAAGCAAACAAACAAATGCCCTGTTTTGTGCAATTGTAAACAATGACACCCACCTACAAGAGTTTCTGTATTGCCTGCAGGAAATCATGCAAAGAGAGTCCTACAGGTATGTATGCAGAGAAAGGAGTCTACGTATACACACATCCAGAGACAGAGTGCCAGGCATACAGGAAGAGATAACAGATGGTAAGTGTTGTGAAAAGTCCGGGCAAGGAAAAAATTCAGTCCAACTATGGGGTGTGAGCATCCTGCCAGAGAAAGTAAGTTTTTATTGTGTGTGTGTGTGTGTGTGTGTGTGTGTGTGTGTGTATCTGCCTGCATGTGTGTCTGAGCACCAGAAGAGAGCGCCAGACCCCCTGGAACCAGAGTTACAGGTCAGGTGGTTGTGAGCCACCACATGGGTGCTAGGAATTGAACCCAGGTCTTCTAGAAAAGCAGCCAAAGCTTGTAATGCCTGGGTCATCTGTCCTGCCCTTCTCTTCCAATCTCAAACTACGTATTACACACCACACAGTAAATATCTATATGGCTGTATCATCTATACCTGCGTATACATGTAGGTTGCTGAGTGACTACGTACACGACTAAAGCAGCAAATGGTTTCAAAGAGACCTAAGAAGCCATAGCTGGGAGGCTGACGAAAATACAAAAAGAGCTTGTGGGAGGAAGATAACGGAGCAGCCAGAGAGATTGACTGGGATGCTGCAGCTGCTGCTGACTACGGCTTCGGGCTGCAGGTCAGAGTTGAGCATCTGGAGTAAAGTGAAGCAAACAGGGATCCTGGACAAAGAAGGGGACAGAGAGATGGGGTTCATTCGGATGGGTGAACAGGAAGACAGGCAGACCCTGGAGCTAAGACATAAAGGACGATAAAGGGGTTCACAAGGCAACTTGAAAAACAACCCAGAGAGAAGAGAAGGGACTGAAGTCCGACGTTGAAGAAACGAGATGGGAGACCCAAGGTGGCACCGAACGGGAAACCATGAAAAACAAAAAAACAAACAAAAAAAAAAAACAAAAAAGAAAACAAAAACAGGTGTCCCGGCTGGTTCTGTGTCAACTTGACACAAGCTAGAATGATCTAAATGGAGGGAACTTCAACTGAGAAACTTCAGCTAAGGCATTTTCTTAATTAGCAATTGATGGGGGAAGGCCCAGCCCATGGTAGGTGGTGCTATCCCAAGGTTAGCGGTCCTGGATTCTATAAGAAAGCAGGCTGAGCAACGTCACAAGGAGCAAACCAGCAAGCAGCACTCCACCCCCCCTCCTCCCTGTGAACACGCTCCATGGCCTCTGCACCAGCTCCTGCCTCCAGGTTCCCTGCCCTATGTGAGTTTCTTCCCTCGCTGCTTTTAAATGATGAACCGTGATGCGACACTGTGGGCAAAACAAATCTGTTCCTCCTGAAGTTGCTTTGGCCATGGCGTTTCATCACAGCAATGGTGACCCCAAGGAAGACAAGTCGGGAGGCTGAGCTTCCTTTTGAAGACGACAGGGAGCCAAGAAAGGGCGTTGAGGCAGGTAAGCAGCAGGATCGTATTCCCAGCAGGACAGCATCCCCAGAATGTAACATGTATAAGGTACCACCCTAGGGCCATGGCAGGAGCTCCCCCGAGATACAGAGTAAGATGGATAAGGGACATCCACCACTGATGGGTGATAGCATCAGTTACAGGAGCCAGAACAAGTAACGGGTGAAGGGCTTTGGGAAAACTTCTGAGTAGCAGACAGGGGACTTTTAGAATTATTGAGGAGACCTAGAGGCAAGAAGTGAAGTCTCCTTGGTGATGGATAGGGATGAGGACAGCAGAAAAACAGACGCTGGGTCAATAAGAGTTGGAAGCCAGGCATCCTCTCGGTGCATTTTAACCTTCAGTGACAGACTACCAATGTATTACAGTGAGAGTATGACTCATTCACATCCCCGAGGGCGGCGGGCCGGCAAGCCTAGAGAAGGATTGGGAGGGGAGGTGACCATAGGCAGAGAATGAGGAGCCAGGATTTGGCCTCTGCAATGAGTTTGCTGTTCCTTTAGCCACATGATTATAAATAACAATATTCCTTATGTTTTCTCCTCCTAGCTCCATCTTTCTAAACTTCTATTTCCATGTTCTAAATTCTAAGGAATCCATGCAATTAACTTGGAGCATGTACTTAGGTGGTTGTATAAGTAAACTTAGTACAAAGATTAAAAACAGCCAATGTTTTTTGTAGTTATGTTTTATGAGTTCCTAATTGGGATGAGGATCAAATAAATGATAGTCCGATAATGCTATGAAGCAGAATATTTGACATTGAGACTATCTTGAAAAACATGGAGGTTATACTACTGCATAATTAGTCGGTAGCTAGTAAGACATTACCAGCCTTAGAAGTCTCTGGGAGTGGGCTTCTCCTCATAATCAGCAGCTGGTAGGGCCAGCACTGAAACTATGGTGCTTTAATGACTGATCCATAGAATGGAATCAGAGTCTTAATCTCTGGCTGTGATTAGAGACATGACATCTTAAACATCAGAAGGTAGTGAACAGATAAATATCTAAGCCATGTAAGATCACTGTCTAGATGGGAGCCTTTCTAAGACTCAATCCCAATGGACCTGTCAATTACCTGCTCGGGAAAACGCTGCCTGTCAATATAGACTTTAGAAACCAAGTCTGTCAGAGCTTCAGATCAGGACAATTGGCCCTCGAGTCATTGTCCACTCTCTGGTCCTTGAGAGTACTTTGATCTCCAGCAATCCCTGTGGCCATTGTTTACTCTCATCCCTTGAGAGCTTTCCACTTCATTCTGCAATAAACCCAACCTATAACCCACACTACACTCTGTGTACATTGTGTGAATTATTTCAACAGAGGCCACAGGACTGGGGAGTCCAGAGCAAGATCCCAGTGACACCATGACAGCAGTAACAGCAATAAACACTGATGTTGAGCAGGGACATCACCCAATTGATCTACTTATATTGATGTATAAATCGATGGGGGATGTCCTTCTGTATATATGTTTCTCTTATTTGTTGATGAGTAAAACACTGATTGGCCAATAGCCAGGCAGGAAATATAGTCGGGGCTACCAGACGAGGAGAAGTCTGGGGATTGGACACAGAGAGTGAGCAGCCACGGAGATGCCATGTAACAGCCAAAGGAGTAACATGCTGGAGGATTCTCCAGTAAGCCAAAACCACATGGAAGTACTTAGATTAATAGAAATGGGTTAATAATTAAGAGAGAGCCAGCCAATAAGAAGCCTGAGCCATTGGCCAAACAGTTTATATTTAATATAAGCATCTGTGTGTTTATTTGGGACTGGAGGGCAGCAGGACCAGGCGGGACGGAAACCCCTGTCTACAATAAATCCTCAGTAAAACTTCACGACACACATGCTGTTATTATTGAGACATTATGGAGGGGAAACTCAGGCACTGAATGGTAGCAACTTACCCACGGTTGTACAGCTAGACACTGCGTAGGAGAGTCAGATTTCAATAGGGCCACCCTCAACCAGAACTCTCACTCAAAGATGCCCTGCTGCCCCTCTTGTGAGGGCCAACAAAATTTCAGACTTCACCCTACTAGGAATATGCCTGAGCTCCCCCAACACTTCTCTTGGAAATAGGAAACTACTAATAATAGAACAACTCAGGGTAGTGGGGAATTTACCGCTCAACTGGAAAGAAACAAAAGGATGGCTGTGATATCACTGCTATCGTGAATAATCCTGTGTCAGTGCTCCATTTGAAAGGTAAACATTGGCTGCTCGTCTGGTGGCTCACCATGATCGTATAGTGGTTAGTACTCTGTGTTGTGGAAGGTAAACATTGGCCAATGGCTCTGCACCCAGCCCTATGGTAGACTCCGAAGAAGACACGAAAGCCTCTATCGTCAAGGGAAACCCCGAGTGCTTGAAGGACAGGCACCATGGATACTTACAAAATAATAGCCCAGATGTCATGAATGCATGCCGAGGCCGCACAGTAACCCTGCTGCTCTCCACATCCACGACAGAAAGCTAAGTGCTACTGTCAATGGCAAACTGCATTTTATAGCCGAAAGATGCAGGCACCCAAAGTCCACCAACATCCCCTGGGTGTGTGAGTGCAATAACTAGCAGTGCTGAGAAGGAAACTGGGCAGTCTGGTCCTGAGCCCACACTCTGTTTCTCCCAATTGTGCGCTCATGATAGGCAAGTGGAAAGCAGAGGCCTCGCTGAAGTGTTAAGGCAATTTCCACCAAGCCCCAAGGCAGAAAAATCAGTGACATCATCTTCCTGACTACCCAGTGCTCCCAAACTGAGAATTTTTATACGAAGAACATGTAGAAGAGCAGGAACAGCCCTTCCTTTCTGTGTTTTTGTTTTTCCTCTAGGGGCTGGAATGGTTAGCAGGTAGGAGAGGTGTGTGCCCTTAAGAGCAAGGCTTTACATTAATGCACCTTCAAATGTCCCCTTCTTTGTGTTTCAGCAAAAGTTTTGGAGAAAGAAACTGAGCACGCCTGGAAGGGGTCCCATTTGCCACTTCAACCTTTCAGACATGTGTTCTTTAACCTTGAGCCAAGCAAGCTCCAGAAGATATCTACTACCTGGGCTTCTTGAGCATGGCGGGGGACGGGGGGC